ATACCATTATCTTAGTCAAAAATTCCGCTCAAAATAAGCTGCACGCAACCTTCTCTCGGTTAAAGGCGCGAGCCGTCGCCAAAATTCTTAATAAAGAAAAACATGCAAAACAAACTTCGAATACCCATACTCTGGTGAGCTCGGCCAACCATAACCAACCGGTTCTGGAAGTCGGCTACCCGTACCCGTCCGTTTTTCAGACGGATCACCCGCACCAGCTCACTCTTAGCCAATATTTGTATACTTCAGAGTAAAAACTTGAGATATGTTGTTTATATAGGGTGCTCCCACTGCAAAGAGTCAATTTAATCTACCTGTCAAATTGACAGTTGCAGTAAACATATACTGCAGCTTCGTGGAAATAAAAGATAATAATATTTAATCCCTCTTTCAATATTATTGAAAGAGGGATTGCGTCAAGCAAAATGATGCTTACGAACCTAAGTACGAATCGCGATTTAGGCAGAAAGTCCTCTATCTCTTGAGCCCTTATAAGCTATAGAATGCTTAAAACTGAAGAAGCTGTGGTCGTTCAAAAGTATTATCTCCATTAAAAGGCCCTCGAAACGACAATACATTTTGGAGTGCTGCGAGCTCAGTATTTTTTTTCTATTTTAGAGATTCAAGTGTTATTTAAAAGCCCTTGTTAAAAGTAATTAAATAAGGGTACTTTTACAGTTTTATGATGGTAGTTTACAATAGATGTCACAGTTTCGGTTAAGTGCGAAAATCAATTGGCTAAGATTATCTCGAAAACTCTTAATGGTTCGTAAGCATCACTTTGTTTGACGCCGTCTCATATATAAATATCCATCTATCTAAATATTGCAAATTTGATTAGCGAAGTGTTGTAGTCTAACGTTTGCCGACAACACTACCAGCCCAACTCTCTCGTTGTACTTAGCTCTTCAACAAAGCGAAATATCTTTCCCCTTGATATACATCGCTCTGTAGTCCAACATGTTCCCCGTCAGCCCGAAATCGTACATAATCTTTCACACGACTTGTCTTCGAGATTGATATATCGTGGACACGTTTGAACGGCGCTCAAACGTGGCTACCTAGATGAAGCACAGACAGCGTTCAATGAACAGACAGTGTTCAATGAACACTGTCTGTGCTTTATCTAGGTAGGCAAGAGGCGGAGCTTGGAAGTAGTCAAATAGCCATTGGCGATGACTCGCAGTAAATTTTCGTATTGTCCAGCATCGTGGAGTAGATTGCCGAACTTGTATCGCTCGTTACAGTAGTGGGCAGAGTGAGTCATGCCACCGCACACCGCGCATGGTCCGTATTGTGTACGTCTGTTGTCTTCTTGTCTGCAGCAGCTTTTGCTCTTTCAAATGCCCCTGTCCGCTCATACACTTGGATCCAATTACTAATTGCTTTTTTCAACCTTGCCGTAGATGTGATCCATTTTTGTATCCAAGGTTATAATAGCCGTACTAACAATGGAAAACGGTGTTTGGGTGAGCATGCTGGCTAGTTACAGCCTCTTCCATCCTGTTGTTTATCCTTAGCTGCAACGAGTCGAAGATATTGTAAAGCCCAACTCGAACCGCCACTGCATCACAATAAACAGCATTTGTCACAAGCAAGTGCTCCGACATCAACGCGTTCTACAGCTCCAATAAGCACTCCAGCTCAATGAGAATCGCAGCTCAGCGGCAATCACAGCTCACACAAGCACTCCACTTCAAACGAAGCTCCAGCGGATCCGCAGCACTGCTTTTGCAGCTAGGCTTCCGACCTCTGAAGCTGTTCAGCCTCCAAGTTATCAGGACCTCTACCCGAGCAAGAAGACGCAAGCGAAAACCTCTATGGCCTACTGCGAGCTTTCAGTTAAGAACAACAGCGAGCTGGTATTTTGAGCGGATTGACACTGTCAGCACAACACACAGAGAAGGAATAAAAAAGGGCGCGGACACGCACACTGGGGCAGCAAAAGCCACCTCTCGGACAGAAGGTACATTCTCGACTGAACCAGAATTCTCTGCGAGCTCCTTTTGTCTTACGCCTTGAGCATATCGCAGTTAGTGTGCACCACACACACTTCACAGCAGCGCTCGGCCTACTAATACATGCTCCGACACTCCCACTTCGAGGTCTGCATTGTAGCGGTATGGCTAATCCTCAGCGCTGCTCTCCAGAACTGGGATCGGCTTTACATTCAGTTGCTCACGTAGTTTCGCAAACTGCGTTGATCCTAGCGGCTTCGTGAAAATGACCGCGAGCATATCCGTTGTGGCACAGTACTTGACGTCAACGTCGCTCGTACAAGTCCCTCACTTTGTGATACTTCAAGTCCACACTTTTGATCTTGTAGCTGCCTTGATCACCTTAATCGTAGACTGGTTATCTTGATACAGTACAGTCGGGCAACGACGGCAGAGATGTAACTCTTCGCAAAGATTGTGAGTCCAAACAATCATGACCGAGCACTCAGCAGCAGCAATGGACTCCGCGCTGCAAGTATCATCCTGGGTAATCGACTGCTTGTGGCTTTTGTAGGCGTACGCGCACTCATTCATCTGAAGCACAAAGCCAGTAATCAATCTCCGATCATCGTTTTCACTATCGAGATCTGCATCAGCATAGGCAATGAAATGCAAATCCGGACTAGCAGGCTTTTTGTCACAAAAGTCCATAGTCACGAGTGCCTTTCAAATAGCGTAGCACTCTCTTTGCCATCACAAAACGCTCATGAGTGTACTTGCTCATGTACGTTCCGAGGGTCCGCACAGCGTTCGCGATCTCCGGACGTGCACCAAATATTGAAGACTACCCACCATTCTCGGTACGGTATGCTTGGGTCATTCACCCCGGGCTGACCGTCTTCTACCGGATCAGGTAAGTTGCCTATAACTTGCGGTGTAGCTACAGGTCTACAGTTTTCCATTCCGAAGCGTTTCAGAATTTTGTCGATGTAGCCACTTTGTGACATCCACATAACACGACCAGGAGCATAGGAAATCTCCATGTGCAATAGATTCTTCACAGGCCCCAAGTCCTTGATTTTAAACCTAGTTTGAAGCTCACTTAGAATCAGCTCAATGTTCTCATGTGTTTCCACAATGATCAAATCATCGATGTACACGGTCACAAATATGGGGCTTCCTCCCACTGAACGAGTGTAAACACCTCCGTCCATCTTCGTCCGGCGAAACCACTTGATCTCAAGTGCTTATCAAGCGTCTGGTACCAAATCAATGGCGCTTGCTTTAACCCATACAAACTCCGCAACAACTTACAAACTCAACCAGAACCGTCGTCAAAATATTCAGGCATTTTCATATAAATGTCAGCCTCACCGATCGATCCGTTCAAGAATGCAGTCACGAAGTCCACATGGCGAGCCTTAAGGCCCTTGTTCAGGTGAAAAACGCGTTCCTGGTTGAGAATAGATTAGGGTTAAAACAAGCTTGACTGGATGGGAGCCAACAGCTCGGCACGGTGTGCCACGAGCTATCCAAGTCCAAGCTTCAGTTAGCCTCGTCTGACTGGTCACAAGCAGTTTTCATTCGATGCCATTAGACCTGCCAGCCCACGAAGGGCACCCGAGTCTCCTCGCCAGTCTTGGCATGTGCACTGGAGAGCTGCCCCCGCCCTTCTTAGGCACTGAGTCAGCTGCCTCAACAAGGACGCCAAGCATCTTGGTGTTACCACAGCCAAGCTGTTTACACTCATCTGCAGACAACAGCTCGCCCTCAACTGTCGTGGATACTCCAGAATCAACTGCGGCTGCAGCTCCTGCAGCGACAAAGCGTACGACTAAGGCAAAATTAAAAGGCAAACCAACGGAAGAAGCCAAGAGCCAGGTCAAGCGCGTCAAGTGGACCAACGAGATGGTTGGTGAGCTGCTTCGACTGCGCTTCTCTGATGGGGTCGTCAAGCGCCGGCTCGAGAGTGCCGACACCAAAACCAAAACGGCGCTAGCATGGCAGTACTTTGCCAGCGTTCTCTCCCAAGAGCTTGGTATGGTACTCAACCGCGACCAGGTGAGTTTATTGCATTGATTGGACTTGCGTTTATTCACTACCATTAACTACAAATATTATTTGCATGCAGGTATCGCTTAAGTATAGGAAACTAAAGTGTGTCTATCGTAAGGAGAAGAGAGAGCAAAAGAGGACAGGAAATACTGCTCGCATTAGCGAAATGGACGAAGGTATTTGGGCCACTTTGAACGATGCTTTGGAGGACGAGTAGGCATTAGCGGCGAAGTTTTGTTGGACTCTGCTATTGACGAGGATGATGACGAGGGCATGGAGGTTGATGTGGCCCAAGCAACAGAAGAAGTTTCCGAGCAGAAACCGGCTCTCGTTGCCCAGCTCATCACAGCTTTGCAAGGTGGAATGGGGGCGAATGCTTTTTCGCTAGGAGCGCGCTCATCTGCCGAGGACCAGCTTCGAGCTTTAACTTCGGCAATCCAGCAGCAACAGGAAGAGACGCGCAAGTTCCAGGAGATGCAGTTGTAGCTTCTTCGTGAGCTACTAGCGCAGCGCCAGTAAAATGTGGAGTTGTTTGTTGTATTTCTGATTAACTACTAACAATTATAACGAGCGAGCTAGCTACAATGCATCCAAATGTCTGCTATATCATTGCGTTTTGCAATACCTTGTTGGTGACAAACCGCTTGCTCTCTTTCGACTGGATCCTCGCTGACTGGAGCAGGCGCATCTTGTAGTAGTGGTTCCTCGCCATGAATTGGCAATCCGTCCCGCATAAGGGTAAGCATGTTATGTAAGACAGCACAACCCAGAATAACTTTGCAAATGCGATCTGACGTCTTCTGCTCCAGTTTGCCCAGCAATACGCGGAAGCGGTTTTTTAAACGCCCGAAGGCACACTCTACGACGATTCGAGTCCTGGAATGGGCCTAGTTGTATCGCCTCTTTCGAGGATTTTGCATAGCGTCTGCCTCCGGAAACGGGGTCAACATATGACCCCAGATTTTGTAGCCGGCATCCGCCAGCAAATGCTTTCCAGGAGGCACGTAGCTAGAAATCCTACAAATGCATCAATCAAAATTAGATTTAATGTTGACAATAAAATGCCTGAACCTTACCTTTTCTTCACCCCCGATCCATTCCAGAGCGATTGGTCGTTGTTTGACCCCGATCGAATGGAAATGGACCGGAACAGATCACGGTGGTCTACGATAGCTTGCACATTTACTGCAGGGAAATTCTTGCGGCAGTACCAGCCTTCAAAGTCCTGTGGGCGCGCAATACGGACGAGAGTACCGTCGACGGCGCCAATGGTGTCGGGAAACCCGGCCGTAGCGTAGAAGCCATCTTCAACAGCTGCCAGCTCCTCTGCTGGCGGCATGGAGATAATAGATTTCGCCATGGCGCTGAGCACGTCCAGGGTATCGTTAATGTAGACTACACTACGAGGCCTGGAGATGCCCAGCGCCGTTGCAGCCTGGTCCATGGTGCCACCCTTGGCCAGGTAGAGCATCGTGAGCGCCACGCGCTTAATGACGGGGGTCTTGGTGTTGAGGCCGGGCTCACGGCCCCACGCAGCGTGCACTAACTGGTAGATACGTAGGAAAGGCTTCTTGTCACACCGAAGCTTGTCGTGGAACCACCCTGTTCCCGGGGTGCAGAGAGCTGTATCGAATGCTCGAGTGTTAAACGTCCTTCGGGCTTTGGGTGGCCGTCGTAAACCGCGCTTATCTGCCGTGGCAATGACTGCGCTCACGCTTGCAGCTACTACTACTGCTAAAATGGCGGCCGTGACGTCGTCCATGGCACAAATGTGCTGAGGGCAGAACACCTGCTTGAGAAGTTCCCAGAACAAGTGTTTCAGAACGTCAATTTTTTAAGTGGTACATTGTACCGTTTAAATTTCAGCCAATAAAATCCCAGGCTATATTCTTTTTCAGAACGCGTTCTCCACTTGAACAAGGGCCTAAGTCCCAAGTTCAGCACTAGCAGCAAGACATACTTCACTGCCTCCTAAGCCACCACTGGAGAGTATGTCTTCCAGAAGTCAACTCCATAGCTCTGCTGACACCCTTTAATAGTGATTCGAGTACGATGACGCACTAAATTTCCATGTACATCACGCTTCCTCGGAAGCACCGACTTGCTTGTCAGCACCTTCTTGTTCTTGGGCCTTTCCACCAGCTCCCACAAGATCATGATACTCCTTATCTAATGCTTCAATCTATTTGTCGGCATCAGGCGAATTCAACGCCTCTTGCACAGTTTGTGGCTCCATCACCAGATTGACGGCCTCAACAATCAAACTTGCAGGAATGTCAGCTTCATTGTCTTTATAGCGAGGATTCGGGTGTCGAACCCTTGTCGATCTTCGAAACGACTTAGCTGTATCACTTGCTTCAGCTTCATCCTCGCCACTCCCGCTGTCACTGAGAGCCCTAGGCACATCATTCATCGGAATAGCTGGATCGCCAGATCCAATCGGCCTTTTCTCTTCGAGATCATCTATTTCATCAGCTGATACGAGATCAAATTCCTGTTGACCTTCACCGCCAACCTCTACTTCCCCCACTGATATTGATATCGTAGGTAGCTGACCAACCGCGGGATTGCTTTCAGACAAAGCCCACAGGTCGTGCCCACCTTATCGATATGCATTTGAGCTCATTTGCCACGAGGTGTATTAAGCCTCATTGACAACTGCTCGCTTCCCACCGCAGCAGGAGCCACCTCGTCATCCCTCAACGGAAATGTACCAGGCGTACCTGAACAAACCGGAGAATTTTCTGTGTGAAAAGTAGTGGTAGCAGTATCACCGTCGTAACGGCAGCGCTTGGAAAAAGGATAATCAGAGGAGACATCCCGATCAGCACTCATTGTAGACGTCACAGACAAATGGACAAACGGAATCAATGTAGGCAAAGTACGGGGTCGTCCTCGTCCATAAGGATTATTGAGTAGACGCTTCACAAAGCTGCGATCCACAGTCTTCCTGAAACTCCACAGAGCGTACTTCTTGGACGTTGCCGGTGTGCAAACTTAGTACTCGAAAGCGTTCAGAATGTTTAGCAAAGCCTATAAATAAACCAGGCTTGCCTGGGTTCTCCAGCTTGTTTTTGTGAAGCTTCTTCAGCGTGAACCCGAGCACCACACAGCCCCAAGTCCGCAACTTGGAGACATCAGGCCGCTCACCAAAGCGCCTGAAGTAGGGCGTCTCGCCGTTCAAAGGCTTCGTTGCAGAAATATTCCTGACCTCGTCAGCAAATCTAAATGCCTCTCCCCACATAAGGTCCGGCATGTTTGCAGTCATCAAGATACAGTGCACCTGAGCCGCTACAGTACCATTCATCCTCGCTACCAGCCCATTTCCCTAAGGATTGTACCCGTTTGGCCAGGTATACTCAGCTCCATGAGCAGTGAGAAAGGTAACCAATTGGTTGTTGAGCAGTTCACGGCCTTGTTCAGAGTTGAAGACCTCGATTTTATCTCCCTGGGCCAACAACCATTTGACATACGCTATCACGACGCCAAAGGCATCTTCATTTCTTCTCATCAGGAAGCCCCACAAGTACCGGCTTGCTTCAGCTTGTACAAGCTGGAAATGTGAGTAGCCACGGTACGTAGCAATATCCATGTAGCACATATCTGACATGAGCTTCTGGAAAGGTCTAGTTGCACGGCGAGTCCTCGCCTTCTTGTAAGACATTCAAGTCATCTTCGCGGACTTACAACTCCAGCATGGAATATCACTGTCTTCTATCAGCTCCGAACCGATTCCAACTGCAACTTGCTTACGAGCCATTTGCTTTGGTGTAGGAACATTCAAATGAGCGAATCGGAAATGCCAGAGCGTCAACGATGCTGTATCACTACGTTGCTGCACCGACGATACCGACGGGACATGGTACACATAATTTGCTGTAGTCTTCAAACGGTACCTGCCGCGAGGCTTCACCAGCATTGCTTGCAAATGTCCTTTGGACAGCCAAGCCACTCGATCCGAATCACGGAGATCACACTTCAATGTCCACCCATCGTTCTCAAGTACATCCAGACTAAGCAAATTATCAGGTGCCGAAGGCTTGAACAGCACACCACTCAAATTAAGAATCACATTTTGGTGTGGCGAAGCTGCACATGTCCAACTTGCTCATTGTCAGACATCTTGCCATCGTTCCTTGAAATACGTGCGCAGTATCCTGCTGCAACTGCGACAGCAAGTCTTGCCGATTGCAGACGTGCACATCACTTGCAGAGTCTAAAGCAAACTCGACTTCACCTCCACGCGAGTCTAAAATCGAGCCAACAAGCGTAGCCCCACGAGGAATACGATCAACTGCATTGACTTTCTTCCTCTTTAATTTATCTTGGTTTCCAGCTTTATTCTGCCAGCGCTTTTGTTCAGACGTTGCAGAACCAGCACCCGCAATTCCATCATCAGACAAATTATTTATGTGAGGACAATTCGGTTTCAAATGCCCCACTTCACCGCAGTGATAGCAAGTTCGAGTCTTCTGCTTGTCTTGATTAGTCCCTTCACCAGCCTTCTTCCTCGGCTTGCTCCCTTGCTTGAAATTCTTCTTCCCTCCTCGACCACTACGTTTGCGCTTGCCTTTGTCAGGCGGCTTCTGCTGGCTGGGTTGGGCAGACTGCTTCCCACACGCAGCAGCACCAGCCGGCTTTGGCTCATCAATGCCAAACTTATCATCGAGAGCTGACTCGGCACGCAAAGCATTCATCACTTGGGTAGCTGTAGGACCAGGTCGGTCTGCTCAAACATCACGTCCAACCACGTAATGCTTAGAGAATTGTCGTACAACATGACGATGCGTGCGAGCGACGTGACCAAGCAACGTCTCTGCATAATTGTCATCAGTAACGCGCTTGCCATAATGCAGAAGCTAACGACGTTGCGACTCCATTGCACGCAACCATTGATCCATGGTCTTATCCGGGGTGTACACGTTGGAATAGAACTCAGCACGAGCAAATATATAGTTGGAATATTCACGTTTTGTCGTCTCATCTATAAAGCGGTTCCACATCGCTTGAGCTGTCTCCTCCTGGCAGATCATATCAGCATCAAATGCAGGAACTCCCGACAAAGTTGCTTCACGCGCGCCATGTTATCCTTGACCTTAAACACCTGCTGCAGCAATGGATCTCTTCGATCAAATTTGTCATCAACAACACTCCAGCAATCCATTCGAGTCAAAACTGTTCGAAGGTGCACAGCATACAGACAAAACTGCCCTTCATTTTTGGTACATTATCCATCTTGACTGGTACAGTACGAGGAAACCCATATTCAGGATCCCACCAAACCCAATGCTAGTAGGGCCAAATCCAGGACCTAGCCCAGCTTGGCCAGTCGGAAATGCACCCAAATTGAAGTCCCCAGCTCTATAACCACTCCCACCAACACCTGACACAGTGGAGAAAGTGGGAAAGCTCCAGGATATTCCGGAAGACGCTCCAGACACTGGTCCATTTACTCCAGCAGTTCCTGTGCTAGTTCCAGTCATGGCTGAAGCTGTTTGCGACGTTATGGACGACGAACCCACAACTCCAGTACTTGCACTCGTTGTTAATGTGCCGCTCGACATCCTCGCGTAACCTTATATAGACTCGTAGATGCTCACACAGAATCTTGGGCTCATTACCTGAGCAGATTGGCACTGCCAGCACCACACGCAGAGAAGCAATCCAAGGACACGGACACGCACACTGGGGCAGTAAAAGCCACCTCTCGGACAGAAGGTGTATTCTCGACTGAACCAGAATTATCTGCGAGCTCCTTTTGTCTAACGCCTTGAGCATATCGCAGTTAGTGTGCACCACACACACTTCACAACAGAGCTCGACCTACTAATACATGCTCCGACAGTATTCTTCGAGCACACCTGTGATAGGTTATAAATGCCTATTTTGGACTTATGAATGGTGTTTGTCTGTAGCTCTGAGATTTGATGCAGCTGATCAACCGACGGATTTTGTATATATTGGCGAAATCCGCAAAATCATCCCGCCAATATTCCTATTGTGGTCGCAGTGCGACTCACACGTATTTGCTCCGGTACAGTAAAAGTATACAGTAGGGGTCCTCAGGCTCGTATTTAGATAGTTTTCAGATGTCAACAATGTCGACCAAACGATTTGAATTGGCTGAATTATTTATAAAATTCAGATGGCAATACCATAGCTTTCTCCGCTTATATGGCGGCGTGGCTAACATCACCTTATTTCCCCCATTCGAGATTGAACCCGACGTCGCCGAAGCCAAAGAAAAAGAAATCTTGTGGGATCGCAATGGTGTAGACGGCGGGCCAAGCTCCATGGGGTCCTACTGGACTGGCTGGCGGCTGAAGACAGCTACGCGTGTGAAGGTGAGAGGCGGCTGCTTCTTGTTGTTACCATACTCAAGTGCTAACAGAGAAATTGCTGGGCAGAAGGCCAAGCAGGAGGGCACGAGCTCAGATTCGAGAGTACTGTGCGGCGACAGCAGAGAGAGCC